GAAAAATTTATAGAATCAATGAAAAATTATTTATGTGTATAACTATTTCAAAAAACTAACCGCCGCCTCTGGTAATAATAGCATTTCGTAGCTGTGAATATAATTTTCTAATTTTAGCATAATTTCCCATTATTAGTGTAAGTCTACATGACAACATTGAAAAACCAACAACAATTTCTTTTATCAATTACTATTCCGTTATAGATTTAACTCAAGAAGGTACCTGGGTACTTAATTGTTAGTAATTAATAATTTTAAAAGTTCAAGATACGTTTATAAAGGTGGGCTGGTACATTTAAAGTGGAAATTGGTGAAAACAGAGACAACCCAGCGAGACGTGTAACTCAATGTATTTTTTTTGTTCGGTAAAAGTTGTTTGGGCGATTGTAACCACAACCAGTCTGTGATGGCGCCACTAGTAAATAGAGGGAAAATTTAAAAATGCTTTAGGGCGGAAAATTTAAACATGGATTTAGAAATAAATAGTTTTTCTATACAAATTTACAGGAGAAACAAAAACTATTGTTTCACTGTAGGTATATTAAAAAATGTAAAAGCTTCCAATAACATCAAATTTTTTATCATATAAATAAACATTTTAATAAAGAAAGTTTTAATCGGTTTAATATAAGCAGTGAACATAGCTTTTATTACTCTTGTAAATTTCGCTAAAAAAAACTTGAAAATTCTATTGATTTTTAAATATTTAAACTTGGAAAAATAATACACCAAACTCTTTTTCTATAAATTATATTTTTGTAAGGTACAGAAAAACAAACTACAATTGCTACGTTTAGAAAGTACCTCGTACCTCATTTTGTGACAAATTACAAAAAAAAGTCACATTTGTTTTATATTCATAATATATTTAAAAAATAATGTAACAAATATTTTATAAAGTATAGAGTATATCGATACCTTTTTGCCAGACTATCATAAGTGCCATTTGAACAAATGTCGCTTACGTTAGTCTGGCTAAAACGTATCGATATGTTATGACTGTTTATTTTAATAGAAACCATGGAAACGAAACAAACACACACATACACTCACACAAATGTATAAGGCTCGAGTCGAGAAAGTCCCCATCTTGTAAACTGGATCGAAACCTGCTAGACCCATTCCGTACACCCCCCTACTAACTCCTCTTAGGGTCATCAAGATCAATAGATTTATGTCATGCCTTCTAAAAGGGAATGAAGGATGACATACTATCATCATTTAAACAGGACGTTGCTGAAGGCTTACCCTTGTTATGTCGTCTGTTTGTGTATCTTCTGCGTATGCATTCCTGTTGTGTCCCCAGTCATGTAAAAGTTTTCATAGTCTCCTAATTTGGTGACTAGGTGGACCTTCTCCAACTAGTCGTCTAATCTATTCGATTTGTGATTCAATTTTTTTTCTTCGTTTAAATGACTCTACAATCTTTTAATGGCCACTAGAGTGGCTATTAGAGGTAGGTGTATGTAAGAAATAGCCAATACTACATGTGAAGAGATTTTTTACTCAGCACACATTTTACTTCTTTTCTAGGAACTTTGTGCTGCCATTAAAGCTGTCGAGACATTCATCTACCTACTTAATGAACAGAAGTAGCTGTAACAATGGATCTCTGTTCCAATTCACCTAAAATAATTACAGCAATTTTGTAATATATTATTAAACACACACATTATACAGTGATTTTCTTAATAAATTGGAAATTACTTACCTCTAGAAAGAAACGTGTACAAAAACGCGAGTTTGGTTCCAGAAATTGCTTCATGCAAAAAATAATATGCGAAAATAAACATTCCCCCCCCCCCCCCCCCAAAGAAAATTAATTAAACAACAAAATCAGACCCAAAGAAATAAACGGGGCCCAAATTAAATTAATTTTAATAAAATACACACGTTAATAATCAGTGTTGTCAACCGCAAATAACAGAATTACTCTCCAAATCTAATTAAAATGCTCCATTTTTCCTCACAATAGCGACAAAATCCCCACAAATTCCTCACACAGGTTTAGAAACACAATTTAGATTTAAATCTATAAAAATAAGAAGAAACTTTATAGTTTTTGTTTGTTTTTTGTAGACATTAGAGAAACAATTTAGTTCATCAACAAAATATTACCTGAAGAAATACATTTTGAAGTAGTTATTATTTAAAGATAACTAATACAGATCTTTTTTTAAAGGCGAATACCTACATTCTTCATTCAAAAATTCAGCACTGTCGGTAATTATGCCAGTGGTCTGACTCCATTTATCAGATTTTGTCATCACTATCTAAACTACTAATGATAATTTATAGAAACCGAAAATATTCAAGATCTGATTTTTTAAACGCTAATGCTGAAAAAGTGGTGCATTTAACAAAAAAATCAACTAAAATTTAGAGTTGTAAGTGTCATAATTCGCCAAATATACCTAATTTTAATGAATTAGCTCAAGAATACTGAATTCTCACAAATTCCTCACAATTGGGTCAATCATCCCACTTTTGCTCAACAAGTTTCAAATGCTTACAAATGTATGCATTTACATTTTACCCTCATATTGGCAACACTATTCATAACAACATTCATAACATTGTCAGTTGTCAGTTCTAATATATATACGTCGACGTCAAAAAACCAGCAACATCAGCGATCTCTAAGATTGGTGTTAGTTTTATTGGAGAGAGATAAATATATGTAAAGATCAATGTAAAAGAGAACGAAAGTCATATATGTAATTTAAATGGACCACCGAACAAATTTTCCTATTAAGTTACACGTCTCTGTTGTCTCTGGTGAAAACTACTACAGATCAGTGGTGAAAACATGGCAACATTGAAGAACCAACAACAATTTCTTTTCTCAATTACTATTCCACTATAAATTTAACTGAAGTAGGTACCTGGGTACTTAATTGCTAATAATTCATGATTTTAAAAGTTCAAGATACGTTTATAAAGGTGAGGTGGTACATTTAAAAACCTATACAGATCAGTAATGAAAACATTAAATTTATAAAATTTGCAGGCCTCCAAAGACACAGTTGAATAATTGCCTCTCGTTTAAAAAAAAATAACATTTCCCGCTTGTTTGTGGGAAAATAACATTTAAACATTTACGATCGTGGCCTAGACAATTCAGGAAATGAGAACAAACGTGCCGTAACCAACTAATAGGTACGTATATCTGCGATCCATACCCACCTTGCTTGCAGACGCCGCGTTAGAAACATGACAATACCAAATGCGGAGAAAGTTTTACATCATTTTTAGTTGCATACTAATTTAACTCTTGGCGGGAAGTTAATTAAATAAAATCGACCGGAAAAATGAATAAGCGGAAGAAATTCTCGAAAAGAACGTAGGTAGGTACCAAGAGGTACTCGCATACCTGCTGTGCAGAATAAGTACTCAATTGGGTAGGTACCTATGCCGGTATGCCGACTTTCACACCTCTGAGGCAATTTATTTTAATTGGGATTAATAAAAATATGTTCAAAACCATTTGAATTATAACGCATATCATTGATAGAGTTGCAAATACCATCATTTTAACCCGAAGACTCCGGATTTGGCGATCATTCTCCGGGTTTACATTTAAATTCTACAGGGAGGGGGTCGCGAATCTGATATAAATGAAACTTTACATGGTTCTATCTTTTTTAAGGACCACAAGAATTTAGAGAACATGAACAAAAAACAGAGTAAAAAACGTTTTAGGTGTATTTCTCAACAAAAGTATTTTCAGCATAACATTAGCCGCGAGACGTTGGCAACCTTAATCATTGGTCAATCCAATCTGTAAAAAAATTACATGAAAGAAAAAACAGTACTGGATCTACATTTTAAAAATGTCAGTTATACAGTATATATGTGGCAAAACAATTCAATTATGTACTAATACAGATTTCAATTTAAAGTTTGGATAGCTGGCCTAAATCCTTTGATGTTCACAGCTTGATTCTAGTTATTGTTGCTGGTTTTTTATTAGGATTTTTTTGGTATAGAGCTCAAACACCAAGCAGTAATTGTACTATTTTTGAATTTAGAAATGGCTGATATAGCATGTCTGATTAACAGCTGTTAGCGGGCTGTAGGTATCTCAGAATATTCTGAAAGATATATAAAAAAAAACCCTAAACTGCTCAATTTTTATTACAACTTTCATATCCTCATCTGTCATACGACATTCCCCTCACCACCGTTAATCTAACCAATATACAATGTTAATAGGGAAAGTACCCCCTCGCTTTTTTGAGCCAAAAGCACCACAGCTTGTGCCTTTTTGGCAATCGTATGTTTTCCATTGTAAATGACAGCTCACTTTAAATACAATTTTCCAATTAATAATATATATATCGTCTCCTTTTGGCATTAATATCTTAAATCATCTTTTCGTATATCCTGTAATTGCCTAGCAGGTGTTATTTTGACAGATGATAACGCTAACTCATGACCTTAGTATGGATAAAAATTGACAGACTGGACATTAGAATTTCTTATAGAGATATACATAGAAAAATAGTCGATTTCATCTTAGAGCTCCTCTAAGATAGATCTAGTTAGACTACTAACATCCTAGTCTAGTTGGACAGTGGTCATAGGTGAGGTTGTCAATGTCACATGTCATGTCAGGTAGACGACCGGTGAATCGACACACCTTTGTTTGTTAGGTTAGTAAACCGTCTTGAACTTAAAATAAAATAGTTTTATTTATTATATCCTGGCCTGCCGATCTAGGATTATTGCACCTGTAGATCCTTTACTTTCTATATCTATGGAAAGTACCTACCAAGTATGACTCATCATTGAAAAGATAATTTTATGTGGAATTCAGCAATATTACTTTAGATTTTGACACCTTCTAGCAGAATAAAAACTGTATAGTAAAGTGTGACACTTCATTTGAAAGCTATTTTATTAGTATTTTAATACGCGCTGATTTCTATATATTTATAGGAAATTTAAGGATGGGACTTACCTTCAGGGCCACTTCAAGTTCTTCTTCCCTCATAGTGTTAGGCACGTGGGCCGTAGCCCCTTAGAAGGGCCCCCGAGCTCATCGTTCCTCTGCTAGTGTCGGAACCCTAAAACGAAAATAATAAAATGAATTTCAATATGCGTGATAAAAATATTTATGACAACAAAATGTGTACAAATGGCCGTAGATAGGTATATACTAGAAGTAGATATTAGAAATGTAATTGTACATACAAACAATTAACAATTATATTAATAATCAACAAAATGGCGATAATAATATTGTTAGAGATATCATGGTCTTTATGGCATGTTTTGACTGTAGAGGTATGCTATCAAAAATTTATTGATAGAAACAATAGTTGTGATTTTTAAAACAATAAATAAAATGTTATTTAATTGTAATCATTAATACCAAACGTTCTCTCTAAACACTTTTATTTTAAGAGATACAGATATAATTATTTACGTCAGTGCAGTAGCGGAGCTAAGATTATTGGGCTACCGGGGTAGAAAGTGGCATTTACTTACTGTTTATTTTTTTACGATTGTTAATGATAGACTAAATAATTGATTTATTAAAATAAAAAGTCAGGGTATTAAATCTGTTAGGTTATATACCAGCCGTACGTTTTATATCGTCACTTAAATGTTATAAAAATTTGCAGTAAAAAATGCAACGTTGTTTTTAGCTTCCTAATTATTATGGTAACTAGTGATCTCTAAAATACTCCCTTTGGGCAGCTACAGACTGAGTTCAGCACTTTTTCCAGTTCTCGTAACACTTCTAGAACATTTCGACTGGCAGTCCCTGAAGGACCCTCGTCAACAACTTGAAATGTGTTTCTTTCACAACTCGTTTGACCCGGGGAACAGAAAAAGTCACAGTGAGTCATATCAGAGGAATACGGTAGGTGGGGAAACACTAATATGTTGAGGTCAAACATTGAGCCATACTAAAGCCAAAATGATTGTCATGATGATGGATCAATGTATTTACGATGTCTGGACGGACTTTAACAACTCTTTTTCGTAATATTTCGAATACTTCAAAATAGAATTTTAGATTAATGGTTGCCCAGGTGGCACGAACTCCTTATGCGCCATCCCTTTGCTGTCAAAGAAGTAAAATCATGGTTTTGACTTTGTATTTTGTCGTTCTTGCCTTGTTTTGGCCTTACTCAGACAGGAAACAGCTACTATTGGCTTTGCCTTTTGTTTCAGGATGATATTAAAAAAACCAACTGTCGTCGCAAGTAGGTAATTGAAAGGTTGGATCATGTTCAGGACTATCCAATATTTTCAGTTTCACCAAACATCATACATTTAGTTTTTTCTAGATTTATTTGCATTCTTAAAATTTCTGCTTGTTCTATAAGACTTCTTGTCATTTTTTTAAAGTTTTTTTTTAATATTATCAATATTGCTTCTAATTCTTGGCAACACCCACCGTATTTATAGGAATTAGCACTATTGGAATATCAGCTGTTTGTTTTGAAGAACATGAGTTTAATCAAAACATAAACCTACTTCAAGAAAGTGTATTTTTAGATATAAAAACTCACTATAAGTATACCATTTTTTTTTTAAATAAAAATACATTAATTTATGTCCATTTTATTCGAAATTTGGACCAAGTACCTAGCAACAGACGCCATATGGGAAGCGTATAATTTCTACAACGAACACTTTCTGCCTGAGGCGCATTTTTTATTGACGGAATAAAAAAGTGATGCATTATTAATGGAGCTTCTTTTTTACCTATTCAATTTCGTTTCTATAACTAGGATTGACTTTGTAATAATTTAGTTTTCAACTCATAAAATTTGAATAGTTTTTGCATTAATATTAAGGCTAGAAGGCAATGGAAAACCACCTGGTAGTAATTGCATAGTAAAATCCATGGAGGTAACTTATATTTTTATAAAATAGATAATGGAAAAAATAACGCAAGTAAGCTTACAAGTTACAATTTCTTATTTTTTAAAAATAAAGATCAAATAGCTTTCAGTTTCAATTCAACATTATGCTACTGGTTGCTGCAATTGTAAAAAAGTCACTTTATATGTCAAAATTAGAAAAAACTATTTTTCTACGAACTCTTACAAAAAGACATCTTTCGTCACAGGATACTTTCAGCGAAAACTTGATTTCCGTCACTAGTGAGAAAAAATCCCATAACGTTTACTTTCGTCTCTAGTGACGAAAGTAAGTTGTTACATATTTTCATATATCAGTCGCCTCGTATAATATTTTGGCAGCTTATAATTATTAATAATGAAATAAAAAGATGCTCATTATATTCTATATGCGTTTTTACCTAAACTTTAATGAATTAAAGATAAAATAAAAATGTATAAAAATAGTGCAAATTAAACCAATCTACATCTAGTTTCCTGGTTTTCATTTGTTTATTTGAAGTTTTATCACTTTTGAGAACTGTCAGTTTCAGTTCGTCCTAAATTTAACACATTTTCATGATGTCTGAGTCAGAAAGCGATTGTACTCCCCCAGAAATTATTTTTAAAGCTGAAGAAACCTCTTCAGATTTATTACCGGCCAAATCAAAAAAGAGATATGAAGAAATTTATATCAAATTTTTGGACTGGAGAGAAAAAATAAAGTGAAATCATTTTCGGAAACTGTACTACTAGCATACTTTGGAGAAATATGTTCAAATTTTAAACCGTCGACGTTATGGTCCATTTATTCGAAGCTAAGAACTACACTCTCTGTTAAAAATGATAAATATTTAATAACAAAGGTAACGGAATTATTATTTTTATTTTAACAAATACTTAATACATAACTACTAATATTTGTAGGTAGCATTAGTTTTTGGATTATCTGGCGCTTGTCGTTGCCACGAACTAAAAGATTTAACAATAAGCGATATAAAGGATACTGGAAGTATTCTGTTAGTTAAAATCCGTAATACAAAAACAAAAGTTCCGCGTTCTTTTCATATTTCTAAACCCTTTTATGATATTTCTAAAAAATATATGAGCCTACGTCCCGCAAACATGGATCAAATTAATTCAAGATTCTTTATTAACTATCAGAATGGAAAGTGTAGCAGACAGGTTGTTGGAATTAATAAAATCAGTAAATTTCCTAACGAAATTGCTCAGTTTTTAACGCTTCCGAATCCTCAAGATTACACTGGACACTGTTTCCGCAGAACATCCGCAACGCTATTAGTGGATGCAGGAGGTGACTTGCTTCTGTTAAAAAAGCACGGTGGTTGGAAATCTAGTAGTGTTGCGGAAGGATATGTTGATGAATCCACGAACAGTAAAAACCAAATACAAACCAAAATTTTACAATCTGTACAAAATAAGGAAACTACTAGTTCATCCGATTATGGCGCATCATCATCTGAAATGACATTTAACAGTAGAACAAATATGTCGGCATCTACCTCAATAAATAAAAAGCTTGAGTGTGATACCCCCATAATTTTGAACAATTGTTCAAATATAACAATAAATCAATATTTAAATAATAAATAATATTTCTGAAATATTTAATTGTTGGTTAATTTTTTGTTATTCCTAACACAAAATAAAGCATTTGCTAACGTTTGTTTTTTTTTTCATTTTAGTAGGTACCTACATGACATAATAGAGTTCGTAGAAAAAGTATAGTGTTTTACTCGTCGAAAATCATTTTCGTCACTCGTGAAACAATATACTATTAGGTACTTGATTTCATTTTTGACAAACTGGACAACTTTAAACTGTTTGGTGGCAACGCCAACTGCAATAAGATCGTTATAAATTAAAGAGCGTCCTTACATCTGAATGCAGATTTAATCCTGGCCTTCTAAATATAATTTTAGCTCGCGAAAGCCATCAAAACAGAAATTATTGACCCCAACGTTACACTAAAAATACATAAATAGCTTGAGTCAGTCCACTAAAACACCCAAGACATTCATCTAAAACTGAATCTAAACACACGTTTAACGGATAATAATAATATAAACAGGCAGCAGCGTGAATTTCTGTAATCTTTCAATATACCTAACCAGTTTAGATTGGGAAAATGTTAGATATATATATTTCGAGAGCTTGTTTTGGCTTAAAATTCAAAATTAATTACACAATTTGAGTATTAAAAACGGTTTGGTTCCGAGTAGAAGCCATTAATATAAGTCGTCTTTGACTTAATAAATTGCTGCTCAAAATAGATTGAAAAATTTGTATATGCGGTTCTGTCATGGATTTTGTAATTACTTCTTTGTTTTTGTTTACTGGAAAAGGAACATTAAGAGAAGTAGTAGGTATTAGACCAAAAAATCGCATTAGTTGTCTAATTTTTTCGACTTAGAACTAAGAAAAATCTATTTTGAACAAAACTATGTACTTATCTGCAGAATTCAACAAAAAAATAGCGGTAAGTGGTAAGTAGCAAAAGAAAACGTTCGGAAACTCTTACAGTCTTAGTATAAAAACGTGCCATATAAAAATAAACCGATCATAGGTTGCAATGAAGCGGCAAATTTTAATACCATACCACGACAAGGACACATACATGTCTCTCGCATAGGAGCCGACATGACTTGCGAAGATATTCTTAACTTACTAAAAAAGACAGCGCCTAACATATCTTTCACCTGTGTAGAGTGGAGAAGAAATGAACATTCTTCCACCTACATTCCCAATGGACAAAATTGATGATGTTTATAACCCAACTATATGGCCCAAGGAAGCTGCTGTAAGAAGATTTAACATCAGAAAAAAATTTCAGCCTCTTCAAAAAATGGAAGAAGAGAATTAAATATAAAATACGATTCCAATATTTTAAAAGATTTTAGTATTTTAAAAAATGTAAATCAGCAGAGTACGATGAGTATGTTTCATATAAACTTACAATCCATCTCTTATAAGGTGGAAATGATTAACAGTTTTCTTGTGGATCACAATTTTGACGTTGTCTGCTTTTCTGAACATTGGCAGAGTGAAACATCTTAAATACATTAATATTGACGGTTACAATTTGGCAAACTCTTTTTGTAGAACAAATATGATACATGGGGGTGTAGCAATTTACATAAAAAATAATAAAGATTTTTTGAAATATTTTCCAATTGACAAGCGAATAT